GGGGAGAGGCCCCGAGGGGCGACTGCGCGGGCCGGCCCGCGACGGTGACCGCGACTCTGGGCCTTTTATCCTCCACCAGCGCAGCCATTACCAAGCCCCGGTCTCCTCAGTGTGGAGATGGGAAGTCGTAGACCTTTCAGAGGTGGTCTTAGCGGGAGGATCTTGTGTCCCTAGAGGGACCGCCCTGGGCCAGGTTGAAGGTATTTGCGATGGGACACTGGTTAATTCTCCCCGGAAAGTTGTTACAAAAGCCTGTGTCTGGCCCTACCTAGATGTGGCCTTTTCCTCCCATACATGCTGCTGTCCTGATGCCATAGACCATGAAGTCTTCATCAGAGCTGAGCCAGTACTAGCACCAGGCCCTGCAATCTCTGGCAGTGGGAACTGAATAAACCTCTGTTTTTTTACTGGCCTGCCTCATGCATTTCATTGTAGTCATGCAAACAGATTAATACATATGGCCTCATTTACATGTCTTGAGGTAGGCCACCTGGCAGCAGAGGCCACACATTTCTTGTTCTCCAGAACAGCCAGCTTCCTCACGTGGTTTCAGAGCTCCAAGACAGGACAAGTTCCACTGTGCAAATGCCTTTCAAATTCCTGCCAGCATCATGTTCACCAGTATCCTATTGGTTGCTAAAAGTCACATGGCTCGGAGTGGGTGCTCCAGTTAAGAGCAGGGGCGTCTGGTAAAAGGAGAAGTGGCTACTTTTCCTGTCTAACTCAGGTACTAAGGGAAACTACAAGGCACCAGGAGAGAACATACTTAAAACAGAGGTTTGATTTGAACCAGTTGAGGAAGGACTACATTGAGAAAGTGAATTTTGGTCTGAGGTCTAAAGAATGGGAAGGAGTTCACTAGGTGTCTAGGGGATGAAAATCGGTCTAGGAAGAGGGATATCATAGGCAAATGGCCTCCTTCCTCCTCAAACCTATTTTTGTCTCTACGCAAATTCCATATTGAAAAAATGGCACTACCCTCTGGCTGATTGTTCAAGTCAAAAACTTAGGCATCGTCCTTTCTTTTCTGTAGCCACATTGGCAGAGCCCATCTGTCCCATCTTCAAGACGCTCCTTGAATCACTCCATTTCTTGTATGCCCCTATCATGCAAGTTACTGCCATTGTTCACTCTGCTGCAGTGCCCACTTCCCTGGCTGGTCTCCCCAGGCCCACTGTCTTTTGCACACTGCAGTACATAATCAAACACAGATCATGTCAACCCTCCAAAGCTCCCAGAGCACTTAAAATAAATGTTTATTTCTTATTCTATGAAGGCTGTATCTTATTCCTGTCTACCCATGTACCTCCTCTTGCTGCCTCACTGTGCTATATCACACTGGTTTTCTGCTCCTAGTTCGTACCAAGCATTTCAAAGTCTGTACTGTGTTTGTCATTCTTCCTGCCCACATTGCTTCTTTTTTGAGTCTTAATAGGTGTCCACTATATCGTAGTGTCCTTTGGAGACACAGCCAGGGAAGCCGGGCGTGGTGGCACATGCCTGTAATCCCAGCACTCTGGAGGCTGAGGCAGGAGGATTGCTGTGAGTTCAAGACCAGCCTGGACTGTACAGTGAGTTCCAAGTCAGTCTCAACTACATATTCAGACCCTGTCTCAAAAAAAACCAAACCAAAACAAAACAAAACAAAAAAAAAACCCAAAAAACAAAACAGAGCTAGGCTTTCTCTGATCATCAAATTACTATTATATTACTCAATTTCTCTTGAAGCATATATCACTCTCTGAAGTTAATTTGTTTATGTGCTCTGTCTCCCGTGACTAGAGTATATAAGGTACTTTTCTATCTTATTCTTATATCCCTACTACTACTACTACCACAGTGCTAGATCCGTATTTGGAACTCAATAATTATTTGCATTTATCAATGAATAAATGAGTGAGTGTTTGAAAACCCCATGTAAAGGGAACAGGCAAAGGGGACGTTACTGTGACCTCTGCATCAGGTCCTAGTCTCCTGGAAGCCATGACAGCACTAGGCAGATAAATTAATATATAGACAGAAAATGAGACTTAGAGAAGAAGCTGAGCTTTGGCCCTGATCCATGCTGCTCTGGGCAGCAAAGATCCCAGACCCTGAGCTTGCCACACTTTTATTCAGAACTTTGGCTGAAACAGAAGTAGCAGATGACTGAGTGGGATCAACCATGATCCTAGAACAATGAGGAGCCATTGCAAATGAAGCTTCGGTTCTTCCCAGGATGTCTCCACTTGGTGTAGTCCTGCCCCGGAGCATCACGGCATCGCAGGACCGTTGAGGTCTTACCTGGGAGTGGAGGCAAAAAGGGAGCTATGTCTACACTTGCCTAGCTAGGGTCAGGGATTTAGCTCAGTGGTACCGCTGCAAGGTCCTATCCCCATACCAAAAAAAAAAAAAAAAAAAAAAAAAAAAAAGGTGGGGGTATCCAAGGGGGAGTCTCTTGTGTGTGAAGAGATGGAAGGAAGCAGATGGGGCTGGAATGCAGGGGCTGGCTGTGAGTTGGGATGGAAGGTAATGGTCAGGTCTCGTGAGGTATTTAGGCCATGCTAAGGAACTTAGAATTTGGTTCTGGCATGGGTTGGGGTTCCAGAGAAATAGAACCAAGTGGGGGGTTGGGGGATAATAAGCAGTTGCTTCAAGTAATTATGGGCACTGAAAAATCTCAAGACTCCAGAGAGCCAGTGTGTAGTCAATGTGACCACTTGGGGGGTCTCTGGACAGACCACCAACTGCACTGAGTAGGAGCAAAAATCAGCTTTATTGCCGGCAGCTTCTATGTTTCTATGGCAGGGGTAAACAGCAACCATAATCACTGGGGAAACAGCCATCAATCTAAACATAATTACATCAGCAAAGGGGCAATGAAGAGGGGGCAGGAAGTTTGGCAGGGCTTTCTGAGATCGCCTTGCTCTAGCGAGTTTGCTTTACAGTAGTGGCTATCGTTACAATGTATCTCTCAGCAAGCATAGTTACAGTTTTTACACAGGGAGACAGTTTTCCACGTGTCTCAGTCCCACTGAAAACACCTGAGAACTGAGAAAGCTGCCTGTGTGAATTTCAGTCTGAAATCTGGCAGGTTCTAAAGCCCCCCAAGCCCCAAATTTCAGTCCTACTCAGAAAACTGGAAAAGACTGATGTCCCAGATCAAGTGGTCAGGACGGGACAATTCCCTCTTACGCAGTCTTTTTGTCCTGTTCAGATTTTCAGTTGATTAGATGAGGATTGCTTAATTGAGGGAGAGCAATGCACTTTACTCAGCCTACAGATTCAAATGTTGCTCTCATCCAGAAGCATTCTTCACAGTCATACTCGGAATGTGTGTCTGCACACCTGTGGGCCAACCAAGTTGATACATAAAATTAGCCATCGCTGTCCTTATCTCGGTATCACTGTGCAGGTACTGATGTGCTAGTAAGAGCCAGGACTGTGTTGTTCACAATGTAGCAGCTTTCAACAAATGCCTCAGGTGTACCACGGTCCTTGTTGAACAAATATGTACTGAATTGCACTTCCCAGTCTCTACCTGTGCTCTAGGAAAACTTCTCCCGAGATATAAGCTTTTTGAGCTTATTCTCCTGTCCACACGCATTTCAAAAACACATATCAGCATAATTTCCTCTCAACTTTTTTGACTACTCAGGGACCCTTTTTTTTTTTTTAAGTTCTGCTTTCTCTTAAAACATATCATCTAGGGGCCGGGGATTTAGCTCAGTGGTGCTGCTGCCTGCCTTGCAAAGCGCAAGGTCCTGAGTTTGATCCCCAATACCAAATAAATAAATAAATAAATAAAAAGAAAATATCATCCCATTGAAGAGGAGCTGGGGACCTGGAGGTGACATGATGACACAGGAGACCTGGAATTAAATTCTGTGTTATTTTTTGATGTTTTATTTCCACCAAACCAAGACTCCCCCTCCCAAGAGTATTTTCTTTTTTGCAAAGTTCTTAACAAATGTAAACACTTGAAAGTCATTCTTCATTTTGAAGAGGGAGGTTGTGTGTCTTAGGATTGGTCCGCCATTGGATGTAGCCTTTCAAAACCCCTGGGAATTATTGTTCCAGGTTACAAGTGTCATAGTATGATTTTTCTTACAGTACTCCATGGTATTTGTATACTATGAAAACAGCATAATATTACCTTGTATAACACTTAATAGATTCTAACTTATTTATTATGCTTTAAGTAGAGTCCACTGCAAGAAAAGAGGTGTATTAGCTTTGTTCACTAATATATTCATGAAAACTTTGTCATGTACCAGGTACTGGATTTATCATCTGAACTCTAGTGCTTTGGGTAAGGAAGAACAAGACATCATGCACACAATAGTTTTTTAGAATTATTTTCCAGTCTTATTTCTTTGGAACTTTACATGTCACAGTACAGTTTAAATTGGATCTTTTTAAATTTAAATAATAATATTACTTTGCTAATGAGAGCTTTTTCCTATCCTCTACCGGTTCTATTTTAGAAATGAACAAATGAGGGCTGGGACTGTAGCTCAGTGGCAGAGCACTTGCCTAGCATGCACAGTGTCCCCAGTTTCAATCCCCAGTGTCTCTCCCATGCTCCACACACACACACGCACGAAATGAAAATGATGTTAGGTG